CATTAATATATTTTTAATTTATAATCTCACAAATCATACGTTAGACAAATTTTTTATATAATATCTATTACTTATTTTAAAATTTAAACTAAAATTTTTTTTTGGTACACTAAAAATTTTTATTATGTTCAACTTTTAAAAAATAATGTTGCTAAAAAAAAAAAAACGTTTAACAAGTAAAGTGTTCAAATAAGACAAAATTGGACGGAGGACCTGTTTGCACTTAACGGTCAATAAATAGGACCGTTAGCTTAATTGGACGGAGGAACGACATTTGCATGCTTTTGCATTGTAGAGGGGTGACAAGTTGAGTTAATTGATAGTAGAGGGACGATATGAAGCCAATCCATAGTAGAAGGTTTAGAATGCACTATTTTGGATAGTAGAGGGACGATAGATGGCCTTAACCCTTTAGTCAATATATATACGTTTATATTTAACAAAAATTAGTTCTTTCATTTTTAACTAAATTTGCTATAAAAAATGAAAACAAGAAATAAAAAGAACAGGTAATCCTACAATTTAACCTTTTTCTTTGACTGCTGTATTAGAATTTTTTTTTTTTTATTTTTAATTTTATTTTTATTTACGGAAACTAGCAGAACCGTTAACAAAGGGTTTCCTTCTTGCATAAATAGAAGTGGTAAGGGCTTATAAATCTAAAAAGATAGTTTAGGGGCTTGTGTCGAAGAATAGGGTAAGTTCAAGAGCTTAAAATTTGCCATTATAATATTAATGTGCAACCAAAATTAAAAATCATCCATTCATCAAAAGAAATAAAAATAAAACCATCCGTTCTCAAAGAAAAAAAAATGAAAATCATCTAAATATCTAATCTTTCACACAATATTTAAACCATAATCATGATGACCAAAAATTTCCATGATAGGTAAAAAGAGAAGAAATTTTCACGAACCATAGTTATCTCTAAGAATTGAAAGCCATTTTTCAAACTTTTCCAATCTTAACATTGGACAACAGTAGCACAAGACCTGTAAAAGCTGTCTTATTATTATGGTGGGGCAAAAGGACAATGAAAGCACTAATTAAATTGACTTTAGATCAACAAAGACCAAAAAGACAGCGAACGCGCTCGAGTGACCATGATCGAAAAACAAAAATAGGCTGCTTTAAATTACTTACTCGGAATCTTTATCTTTAGTGTAACTTCGCGGAAAGGTGTTTTATTTGCCTGTCCATGGAACTATATATTAATGTACAAGCAAAATTAAATATCACATCTCATCTTCCATACAATATTGAAAACATCATTATGAGGGAAACTCTCTGTGCTATGCTTGTTCTAGTTGCTGTATTGTTCTTTGGAGCTGCAGAGTTTTGTTCCGGTCGGAACACAAGCTTTAGCTGTATAGAAAAGGAGAGAGAAGCCCTCTTGAAGTTCAAACTTTGTTTCCATGATCCATCGCATATGTTGTCTTCTTGGAAAGGCAATGACTGTTGTGAATGGAAAGGAGTAGGCTGTGATAAAAATAACAGATATGTTGTCTCGCTTCAACTCAAGGGATCGGTATTCGCTAATCAACGACCTCAATTGTACTTGATTGAGGATGTAGAGGAGGTTGGTTCAAGTTTGCTCAAGCTGAGATACTTGGAACACCTGGACTTGAGCAACAATAATTTCAGTGGTAATCTTATTCCGCCCTCCTTTGGTTTGATGAAGCAGCTAAGATACCTAAAGCTCTCTTGCGCGCAGTTTAGAGGAAGAATTCCTGGTGAACTTGGAAATCTTACAAGGCTTCGTGTCCTTGATCTTTCTCAATATTATTATCGGGGATTGAAGGTTGATGATGACATTCAGTGGATTTCTCATCTCTCCTCTTTGCAACAACTTGATATGAGTGGAGTAAATCTAAGCCATGCCTCATCAAACTTGTTCCAGGTACTTGGCATGCTTTCTTCATTATCATGGTTGAGTCTGTCAGATTGTAGTCTAAAAAATTCTCACCTACCATCTCACAACCACCTTAATTTTACATTGCTTGGAAATATTCAACACCTTGATATGTCATATAACTCTTTTCATGGTCCAATACCTATTTTTCTCCAAAACATGACTTCATTGACATTTCTTGATATGAGCGGAGTAAATCTAAGCCTTACATCATCAAACTTGTTTCAAGTACTTGGCATGCTTTCTTCACTATCATGGTTAAGTTTGTTGAGTTGTAGTCTCAAAAATTGTCACTTGCCATCTTACAACCATCCCTTTAATTTTACATTGCTTGGCAATATTCAACACTTAGATCTTTCAGCTAACTTTTTCCAAGGTCCAATACCTATATTTCTCCAAAACATGACTTCCTTGATACTTCTTTATCTTTCTGAAAATCAATTGAGTGGGAGTATTCCAGATAGTATCGGACAACTTTCTAAGTTAGAGAGCATAGATCTCTCTTTCAATCAATTGAGTGGGAGTATTCCAGATAGTATCGAGCAACTTTCTAAGTTAGAGAGAATGGATCTCTCTGGGAATCAGTTGAGGAGTATTCCAGATAGCATCGGGCAACTTTCTAAGTTAAAGAG